AGCTCCTTGAATTCCCCAGGCAGCCTGCTGGCTAGGGAGGGTTGGGAGTTGTAGTCCAAAAAAGTAACATTTGCAAACTCTGACCCTGTTTGACGAATTCAGCCTCTAAAGGCAGGACTCTTGGTCTGAAGGCAGGGTGTCCACATTACACACTTGGTTTGGTGACTTCTCTTTCTAAGGAACTGAAATTCAGAAGGGCTGTCTGACAAGACCAGCTTCCTTTGAAACATCTTCACACCTAAATCAAAATAAGCCTAGTTCAAATACTGTGAGGTAGATGCTCTCCTTCCTGGAGCCAGAATGTCTTCCAGTTGTGCTTTATGTGAGGCTGGTGGGGAACGTGCGGCACAAAAACAGCCCTCCCCTTTTGGCCAGACTCTTTAGAAATTTGTTCTATAAACAGGGGGAAAAATAAGAGCATCTGGACTTTTTAAGCGCTGGAAGGAGACTGTGGGGGGGGGGGGGGGGCTGGAATCTGGTCTCTGGAGGCGAGGAGACAGCCAGGATGTGGCTTGTGAAAGAGTACTCCTCTGAACCGATTACAGATAGAGATCGGCTGCTCAGAAACCACAGACGCACAAACTGGAGGTGGAGAGGAGGGGGGGATTTCCATATGTTGCAGCTGGATTTTGATACTAGAATGTCATTAGAATAGGTGACACAAGGCTTGTTGCTAGAGAAGCTTGAGCATATGTGGCAAGGAGGCATCCAGTGGATTAACAGTTCTGAGCATGGCTGAGAAGCATGGCTTGAGCATCTCTTAAGCATGACTGAGAAGCAAAAGACCCCGGACTGGAAGGAAAAGGTCTGGTGAAGAGATAGAGGCACAGATGTAGTTTTGTCCTACAACTGTTTTCACTGGCAAGTATGCAGGGCGTGAAGATTTCCTGAAGCCCTTTGTAGATCTGAAATCCCTCCCACAAAACCCATTTTTATCCCAGGATTGGATATATCCCCCCCCCCATACTATTTCTTAAATAAACTTGACACTCTAAAACCTCCAATGCTACTTCAAATCCTAGGTCAACATGTCAATTCTGCTAATGCCCTTTTAAGTCCTAAAATGAAG